ATCCTGCCTTGTATCAACGGTTCAGGCTGGTGGTGGTGGTGCAGTGGTGTGGGGGATATTTTCCTGGCACACTTTGGACCCATTAGTACCAAGTGAGCATTGTGTCAATACCACAGCCTATCTGAGTATTGTTTCTGACCATGTCCATCCCTTGATGGCTACTTCCAGCAGGACAATGTGCCGTGTTATAAAGCACGACTCATCACAGAATGGTTCCTTGAACACGACAATAACCCTCCACAGTCACCAGACCTCAATCCAATAGAGACCTTTGGGATGTGGTGGAACGGGAGATTCTCATCATGGATGTACAGCTGACAAATCTGCAGCGACTGTGTGATGCCATCATGTCAATATGGACCAGACTCTCTGAGGAATGCTTCCAGCACCTTGTTGAATCTGTGCCACAACGGATTAAGGCAGTTCTGAAGACAAAAGGGGGTCCAACCCGGTACTAGCAAGCTACACCTAATAAAGTGGCCGGTGAGTGTATGCTAAAATACTTGTCTTGCCACTAAAGCTTTGATTTGACTAGGTCTGTGTGCATGCTAAGGTGTGTGGAAATGTGCGATATGTGTTTATTGAGAACTATGTGTTTTAATTTTTTGAGGTGCTTACATGACTTTTTATTGATGTTTTTAGTGTATTAACCGTAGAAGCAGCTTTGTCGGGCGTACGATGTCCAAGACAAATTTATATATATATACTAAATGATTTTGCTGGGGAAAAAAACAAGCTAAAACATATTAAATGCTGAACTGTAAAAGCCAGTTGTTTTGAACAGCTAAACGCTGCTGAAAGTGGGGGAAAAGTGGAATGAAAACAGATAAGAGCAAAAATATGTAGGAAATGCTGAATGGAARTGAGCAGAAAAAAAGCTAAAAATTTCTAACTAAGCAGTTTAGCATAAGTATGTTCAAATATTATGTCTTCAAAGCTATTTGAAACAAGCATGACCCTCTGAACTGTGAAAATTAATAGAAATTATTATTGGCTCCTATAGTTATTTATTTAGAGGTTTTTAAAGAACTTGGTGACCTTTGGCTGTGACCTCGTGAATTAGCCTTTAGTATGKGTTGGCATCACTGTCAGTTAATACCACACCAACCTTTAGCTCAWTATGTCTAATAAAAACTGAAAGGAGCACAAAAAAGCTAAAGTTAGCAACAAAATAGTAGCCTAAATAAAAACAAGAAAGCTGCAACTAGCAGAAAAACTGAAAGCAGCAGAAGCAAGCTGAATTTAGCAGAGATAAACTAAAAGATACATTTATGTGCAAATTAAGATAAAAAGCTAAAATGAACACAAAAATGTCAATTATCTAAAAAAGGTTAATTTAACAGAAAAGTAGATAAAAACAAAAAGACTGAAAGTGCACATGTTTGCTGAAATTAGCAGTAAGAACCTGAAAGCAGGTGAAGGAAGATGACATTTGCACAAAGAAAGTGAAAAAAGCTAAATCAGAATTAAAGCAAACAAGAATTTAGAGGATGTGGACATTTTCAACGAGAAAAAAAAATCACCAAAAAAGCTAGAATTACCAGAAGTCATAGCATTTTGATATATGAATTGTTGAAATAGCACAAAAATTGACAAACGAGTTAAGTGATGACAAAAAATTTGAAGAAAAAAGGATGTTGATCTCTGACAAATTTTAAAGTTCTTTGTTGAAAACCTGATGTTCCACAGAAACATTCTCCTCTGTCTGGTCTGACATTAAATCAACTAGAAGTGTTTCATCACAAATGATACTCTGGCCTTTGCTCCCCATATCTAACAGCATTTACAAATAGATGTCTCATCCACAAAATCTTTAGGAATGGTCTCAGATTGTAACTTTAACTACAAGTCATCCTGCAGTTGTTTCCTACCTGAAGAAGCAGCGATTTGAAAGGTTTTTGTATGGGGTAATATAACTGTCATAAATAATTGTATGTGTAAGGGTCTAAATTTGTACATTTAAGTCAATAAACGTGCATAAATTTCAGATTTGTATCCATGTAAAATCAAATATGTTTTCTGTGAGAATACAAGTTTAGAAGTTACAATTTTGTAACATTACAAATACGAATCACAAATACACAAGTACAATTCTTCTACCCTTAGGAGCTGTCAAAATAAAAGACATTATGCAGGGAACACTGAAATAATCGATCGAACGTCAAACTAAGCATGCGTGAAAAAGATTGCTTCACAGTGGCAGACAGGGAAAGTATTTGCTGACAGGTGCAAATGCTCAGCAAACATAAACACTCTGCAA